TCTGGGTTGGACAGGCCTCCAGGTGATGTTTGCACCCACTCAGGTTTGGGAGCCAGGCTCCCGAGTTGCCTCAGGGAGCCCTGGTGGTGCAGGGGTTAAGCTCTTAGCTGCTGACCACCAAGCCGGCAGTTCAAACCCCGCCAGAGGCTTTGTGGGAGAAAAGACTTGGCAGTGGCGGCACGGGGAGCCCGGAAACCTCCCTGGGGCAGTTCAGCTCGGGCTCCTGGGGTTGCCGTGGGTCAGAACTGAATGCACCAGCGGTGAGGGTGTTCTCTTCCAGAGCGAGAGGCGAGGCCTGGGTCCGAGCGCGGAAGTAGCGCCGTCTGGGGCCGGCCCAGGGGTTCAGGGCGGGCGGCAGCGTTCCAGGTGGGGCACGGCCTGTCGTCCACCTGCCGCCTCCACCCTCTGTGTGTCTGCCCAGGCACCGGTGTGACCGTGAACGCGCTGCACCCCGGCGTGGCCAGGACCGAGCTGGGCCGACACACGGCCATGCACAGTTCTGCCTTCTCCAGCTTCACGCTCGGTGAGTGCCCTCCGTGCCAGGGCCCCTCAGCCGAGCCCCGCCCCCGCCCGCCCTGCTGGTCCCAGGAGCCCCCTGTGGGCTCTGTCCCGCTCCACCCCGCCTCCTGCCGCCATGGTGCCGAGGACCAGCTGCCCAGGTTAATTTGGACTCGTTGGGAGTTCAGGGGACTTCAGGGCAGACGAAGGAAAAGGCGATGCCGTGAGGTCGCAGAGCTCAGAGGCTCAGCCGGAGCGCGGCTGTCAACCAGAAGGTCGGTGGTTCGAGCGCACCCGGCAGCTGCACGCCAGGCAGACCCGGCGGTCTCCTCGGGAACATGGCAGCCCAGGAGGCCCCGGGGGCGGCTCTCTGTCACGCGGCCGCCGGGAGCCGGCGTGTTTGTTACTCGGTCTCACGGTGCACATCTTCCAGCGTTTCAAGAGCACCGGGCCGCCTTCTGCGGGGCGGCTCCTGTCCTCACCAGCCGTGTGTGCAGGCTCCTCATTCACACAAAACGGACGGCACGTGTTTTCAGTATTTGCCAGCTTCGTGGGTATGTGATGCGGTCTCATCGCGGTGTAAGGAGTCCTGGGGGCCGGCAGTTAAACTCTCGACTGTTGACCCGAAGGTTGGCCGTTCGAACCCACCCAGCGGTTCTGTGGGAGACAGCCCTGCTGACCTGTCAGGTGACAGTCCAGGACACCCCGTGGGGTGCTTCTGCTCTGTCACGGGGTCGCTGTGACTCGGGATCCACTGGACACCACACAGCAGCACACCCCGTCAGCTCGGGCTGCCAGATGTCGGCTCGGGGCAATCCCAGAGTGGGGGCCGGAGCCCCATTTGATTGGCGAGCAAACCGTGCCTCCGAGGGAAGCCGCAGGGCACTGGAGCCCAGAGCCTGGGTCCCGGAGCCTGGAGCCCAGAGCCTGGTCCCGGAGCTGGGCCGTCCTCACAGGAACCCTGACTTCACCATGACATGGCTGTGCAACCTGCTTAAGGGGCTTCCCCTCTCTGAACCCCAGTTTTCCCATCTGTAATGTGCCGGCCCTGACGACACCCACCTCACAGTTCTGGGAGGGTTTGATGAGCCCTCCCTTAAAAGGGGGCCGGCACCGTGCCTGGCCCGGAGCGTGGGCCGAGTCACTGTGACTGGTGCTGTGGGGTCGATCGCCTCATGGGGACCCCCTCCCGTGTGTGGAAACAGACCTGCCCACAGTCAGGCTCTTCTTCTGAGGTGGCTCTGGGAGGCCTAGAACCGGCAGCCTTTCACTGAGCGGACGAGTGTGTGTACCGTCTGCAGCCCCCGGGAGCATACGGGGCTGTGTGAACACGTCCCTGCCGTGTGCGCTGCCGCCGGCCGCTCAGGCGATGCTGACCCACGATGACCCCTTGTGTCTCAGAGTTGAACTGTGCTCCCTCGGGGTTTCCATGGCTGGGACCTTTTGGAAATAGCTGGCCAGGCCTTCTGAGTGCCTGTGCTAGATATCAGGAACCTTAAGTGCAGGCAGGCTCAGGACTCAGGCAGTAAAGGAAAATTATTTTAATGACAAAAGGAGGTGGGGTGAGGACTCAGGGCTGGTGGAGAGGAGGGAGAACTTAGGTTCTGTTTGGGAAAAGCCTGGAGGGCTTCCTGGAGGAGGTGGCTTTTCTGGTGGTCCCTGGCTACTAGTGAAATGGTGGTGGTGGTTTGAACCCACCCAGTGGGGTTCTGGAACAAAGGCTGGCAGTCTGTGTCTGAAAGGTCACAGACTTGGGGAGGGGGGAAGGAAGTGCACTTTTACTGTGCAACACACAGGGGCGCTGTCAGTCAGAGGCAACCCCAGGGGAAGCGCGGGGCGAAGGCGCGGAGGTGGGATGGCTGCTGGGGTTCTGGGTTTCTGGGGCTCTGGGGTGGCTTCTGGCCTCAGCAGAGCCCCCGTGGAGGAGCAGGAATCACAGCGACCCCTTGTCCGCAGGGCCCATCTTCTGGCTGCTGGTCAAGAGCCCCCAGCTGGCGGCGCAGCCCAGCACCTACCTGGCGGTGGCGGAGGAGCTGGAGGGCGTTTCCGGAAAGTACTTCAGCGGCTTCAAAGAGAAGGCCCCCGCCCCTGAGGCTGAGGATGAGGAGGTGGCCCGCAGGCTGTGGGCTGAAAGTGCCCGCCTGGTGGGCTTGGACGCGTCCCGTGGGTCCTCTGTGGACGAGCAGCCGCTCCCCAAATAATCCTGGAGAAGAGGTGCCTGGAGCCCCGGCTGCGCGGGCCGCTGGCTGCAGTACCCACAGCGCCCTCTGGGCGGCAGTGTGGCGCACACTTTCCCGCTGGCCTCGGCCGTGACCGCTGGTGGGCACCCGGCTGGGGCTGGCCTGTGCTGGTGCCGGCAGCTGAGCTGGGCCATCAGGTGTCGCCCTTGGGAATCGCAGCTGGGAACGGCCGGGGGAGGAGTCGGCGCCCAGAGGCGGACCGTGATGTCCGGGGCCGGTGGTGTCGATGATGGAGGCCAGTGCGGGGTCCATCCCTGGCTGGCAGCAGCTGGGGTGTGACCGCTGCCTGGCTTCCTTAGTATCGTATCCACGGTGATAACGGCTCAGAGCACGGGCAAGGAGTGTGACGGCTCCTGGGGGGGCCATACGTGTCCTCGCTCCCCTCCGAGCCTCAGTTTCTGCACCCGGGAAATGGGTAGTGACTACCTCACACGGCAGGGGATGGGCACCGCGACCGGCAGCTGAGCGTTTCTTGCTGGCGACTGTTTACGGAGGGTCTCCTGTGCGTCAGGCCCTGGGGGGATGCTGGGCGCGCCGTGGAGAACAGAGCGACCCTTCATTGGCCTTGTCAGCCGAGTCACGCTCAACACAGGGCCGCTGCAGAAACATAGCTCTGCTCTCGGACCAGGGTTGCCGGGGATTTCAATGAGTTTAGACCCTCAAACTCTTTCCAAAACTGGTGAAATAGCTATAAAAAAAGCACTGGCCATTTCAACCACTTTTGTGCGTATGATTCGGTGGCAATGATTCTGTCCCCCAGGTTGTGTGACCGTCACCGCCATCCTTTTCCAAATGTTTTCATCGCCTTGAACAGAAACTGGGAGCCGCTCGAGCAATTAAAAAGCAAACAAAAAACAGCCTACTCCTGTCAAGTTGAATCTGACCCACAGCACCCCGTGTAGAACAGCCCCTTAGGGTTTCTGGGGCTGTAATCTTTGGGGAAGCAGACCGCCTCATCTTCCACGGAGCCGCTGGGGGCTTTAAACTGTCAACTTTTGGGTTAGCAGCCAAACAATCACTGAGCCACCAGGGCTCCTTGTGCAGCGTGGTGGTAACACTAAAGCATTAGTGATTGTCACAGGAACAAGCCCCAGACCCTTCCTGATTGGTCCGTCCTTAATCCCGTGCCGCCAGTCCCGCAGGCCGATTGGTTCGTCCTTCTTCCCGTGCCGCTGGCCTATTGGGTCTTCCTCTCACCCCACCGGCTGATTGGTCTGTCCTTCCTCCCGCCCCGCAGGCCAATTGGTCCGTCCTTCCTCCCTTCCTACCCGCTGGTTGGTCCGTCCTTCCTCCCGTCCCGCCCGCTGTGATGTTGGCGGGCTCGTCAGTATGAGGCAGCTGACCGTGACGAGTAAGGTCAGTTGTGTGAGGGAGCCTAGCGTGCCGCCTGATGCTTCAGAACAATCCAGAACGTTGCAGAAGGTTCCCTGGGACCAGGTCACTGGACCGCCCGAGATGAGTCGTTCTGCCATGGTGGGCTTTACGTGGGAGAAGCGGACAGGGGAGCGTTTTTAACAGAAAGCCAGAGCGGAATGAGCAAACCCGAAGCGGATTGCTGGTCAGCATTGGGCTCTCCAGGATGTGTGGGAACGGTCCTCAGCTGGGGGCTCACGGGCAGGGAGGGAGGACGAGGGGCGGAGAAAGGCGGCCGCGGAGACCTTGTGCGGCAGCGCGCGCTTCCCTTTTTTAGATACTTTTTTTATTGTTGAGAAACACGCACCAATTCGACAGTTTCTGGGTGCAGTTCAGTGATGTGGGGGACATCTGGGACCTGAGCCCCCATCCTCACCCTCTGTTTCCGCTTTGTTCCTTCCCCATTCACATCAGCTCACTGCCCCCGCAGCTTCTCGTCTGTTGAGTTGCTGCTGACAATTTGGTCTCGTGCAGGTAGTTCTTAAAGGAGCCCAGTGCTGAAGGCAGACATTGTTGACAGCTCACCTGCACGACTGTTTGGTTTTAAGAAGACTTCAGGGGGTATTTTTGGCATAAGGTTTAAAGAATATCTCAGGACAGTAGTTTGAGGAGTTTATCCAGCCTCCGTGGCCTTGGAAAGTCTAGATTCCATAAGCATTTGAAATTATTTTCTGCATTTTCCCCCCTTTTGATCGGGATTCTTTTCTAGACTCTGCAGTCAAATATTCAGTAATGGGAGCCAGGGAATGCGGTTCTGGTCGCACACCGGAGGCAGCAGTTGCATCACACGTTCCTGTGGAGCAGCACCAACCCGTAACACACCGGGGCGCCATGACTCGGAAGTGACAGCATCTGGTTTGGTTTTCCTGGGTCGTGCAAATGGTTAACACGCTAGGCTGCTAACCAAAATGTTGGCAGATGAGTCCAGCCAGAGGTGCCTTGAAAAAGGCCTGGAAGTCAGAAAAACCAGCCACTGAAAACCCCCCAGAACTTGGTTCTGCCCTGACATCCAAGGGGCCGCCGTGTGTCGGGATTGACTGTCTGACGGTTGGTTGGTTGAAGGGTGTGTTCAGTGGTGGGATTCTCGCCTGCAACGTCATGGCAGAGCAGGTTGAGTTCCCAGCCAGAGCTCCTTAGGCACCACCCGTCCGTCAGTGGAGACTTGCGTGGCGCTGTCTTGCTGGACAGGTGTCAGCAGATCTTCACACTGAGACAGACTGGGGAGAAAGGGCTAGGATCCACTCTGAAACAACTGAAGGAGCCAATCCCAGCCCCGCAGGGCAGCGGGTCCGTGGAGGATTTGGAGAAAAGGTTGATGGTTGACTGCAGAGTCGTCTTTGTAGATGTGTGCGGTGCAACTCAGGGTTAACTCTGTCCACAAACCCCACCAACATCCGCTTCCTGTCTGGGCCTGAGAAGCACCAAGGACCACAGACAGTGACTCACAGATCAGTATAGTCTCCACCCCCTTCCCCAAGCCTTTGAGGTGGCCCACAACCCTAGTCTAACCTTCAGAACTGTGAGAGATGGTAAGGTCTGTCTAAAAGCCACACGCGCCCAGATTGCAAATTGCTGCAATGTGGTGAGCAGGCCAAGGGACCAAACAGGAAATGATGCTTTAGGAGGTGGGGTTGTCACAAAAAAAAAAAAAAGACAATGCTAAACATCCCACACTGCTGCTGGATTCTTGGGAATTCCATCCATCAGGACACCGTGGCTGCCAGTTACAGGAGATCCTCAAATGACAACAATGGCTGGTGGTTGTCATGCACTGTCAAGTCAATTCCGACCCACAGCGTCCCTAGAGGACAGAGTGGGACTGGATCACAGGGTTTCCAAGGCTGCCAATTTTTGTGAAGCAAAGCCCAAACCACACCCACTGCTGTGGACACAGCGCCCCTAGAGGACAAAGTGGAACTGCCCCCGAGGGTCTCCAAGGCTGTCAATCTTCACAGAGGGAGATGGCCTCATCTTTCTTCCACAGAGTGGCTGGCGGGTTTGAACCGCTGGCCTTTGGTTAGCAGCTGAGTGTTTAATAATTGCACCACCAGGGCTCCTTCAAGTGGCAGTAGCTGGGCTAATAGCCAGCTGGTAAGGACTGATGCAGGGATATCATTGCTGATGTCAGATGTGTCTTGGTTCAAAGCACA